GAATCCGAATGCCGAAACAAATTTACTTTTGGACCCAAATCCCAAAAAGCTAAATAACGGAAAATCCGAAATAAAAACAAATTGTTCGTCGGTGCGCACGTCTTGTCAGCACATGAAAAATAACATACAATGTATTAACAAAGTAGTCACCGCTGCGAGCTCATGATATACTACAATGTCATGTTTAGGTTACTAATTTATATTGCAATTGTAGTCCATCACAGGAGTGAGCTTGGAGTGGTGACTACTTTACAACACACACAGGGACCATGGGGAACAAAAGTAGCCACCCTCCAGAAGGAAGGACAGTGTCAGCATGAATTCAGAGATGATTTGAGGATCTCCAGCCAAGTGATGCACAAATAAGATAACACTTTGTTAATAGTAAATGTACACAAATGCATTTTTAAGATTTAACGCCGGAGTTTAGTGTCACTTTAATTGTCATCCAGTTAGGATATAGATCTACTTTAACCCAATCGTATTTCTCCAGCAAGGCTGCTGTGAGCTCCACTGTGTACAAAACAGGTCCGTGTGCTCTCTTGCAGCCATTACTGCACACAGGGGTCTTTACAGCAAAGTGAACAAACATGAAAGCTGGGAAAGAAAAGTATAACTGAGAATAAGAAAAAAAAATTTTTTACCAAAGAAGCGACTGCAGTAAAGTGTGGCAGTAGATGAATAGTGTGCAGCATCCTAGCACACAGTACAAACCCAGGGAAGGCCCAAGAAACAGCAAGAGCACAATGGTGGCCAAGGACCCGGTCGCTCACCTAACTGGCTAATGAACAAACAGCAGTTGGATCCTCCTTAGAAACCTGTCACAAGGAGCTCCTACTTCTACACTATATTATATCAGGCTGCATTTTGTGCCTCTCCACTAATGGGCAGTCCTCTGCCATATGCTCCATTGTTACAATATTCCCATTCAGGAACTGACTCCCATTTTGCTTGGATGAGGTAGAGGAACGAGCATGCCCTCCCTTCTCACCAGATTTGCCCGCTCTCCTGTTTTAGGAGGAGTTATAGATCTGAAAGGCAAGAGCTCATTTGTAAATGAAGGAATAAAATAAAAGTGTTCCGATACCTGATGAGACACAGAAAAAACCCTCCACTACTCATTTTCTCCCCCCTCAGAGAGGCAGCTGGCACAGGCGGGCACTGAGTAGCAAGGAGACTGGACAAAAGAGACCACACAGACTCTGGAAAATGTGTGTGTGCAAAAGTGCAGGCTGCCAGGCTCAGCAGGAGGCCGAAGAACGATCCTATAGCAGGACAAGGGGGGGACTTCGAGGTACCACAAGTGCCTTCTCCCAAAAGCTTAAAAACAACTATGTGCTCATAAGGAAGATTTCTAAACAGCCAACATTATCTACAATACTGTTAAAGACAATTTACCCCAAAAAACACACCATCACCAAAAAAGGGCAAGGAGCCAACTGGCATAAAAAGAGCTAATGATTCTTAGGTCACAGCTCAAGCCGACAAACACCAGCGGAATACAGAACTATGCCAAGGCATACAATAATATCAAGCTATACCCTCACATATTTTACAACTTCATGGCTTCTATTACGTTATTTCAAAAAAATCATTTATACAACTCCATATACTGCAGCACACAGCCATGGACAGAGGAATCTACAGATTATGAAGCAATTCAGGGTGCTGGCGCTAATGCTCACAAGTAGCATATAGCTCTGATTCAGAGCTATTCCAATGTTTGTCAGGTTATTCTTGCCATGTCCCTGTTAAGGTGCCCACACACACCTTACAATTTATCTGCAAATTCTCTGTGGTCAGATGGAAAAAGTGCAACAGATTTCCCCAGGTGGAGATTACTCCATCCACACAGTTAAGTATAGATGGAGGAATCTGTTGCACCTTTTCCATCTGACCATAGAAAATCTGCAGATAATTGTAAGGTGTGTGGGCAGCTTTAGTAGGATTTCTCTCACTTCCTGTGCTGACAAGTAGCATATAGCTCCGATCCGGATTTATTCCAATGTTCGTCAGGTTATTCTTGCCATGTCCGTTAGTAGGATTTCTCTCACTTCCTGTGCTCACAAGTAGCATATAGCTCCGATTCGGATTTATTCCAA